GACTTCCTGTAAAATCCACTGCCGTCTCTTACCTTCCCCAGGCCTTGACGTATGCCTTTCCCCGGACTGTTTTTAACAACTGTGGATTTTGTAGTTGCTGCTGCTGCTGCTGTTTTAATGTGATGCTGAAGTATAGCATACTGTGATCCTTTTTCATCTCCACTCTCCCACACTCCAAGGGTAATGACTACCATGATGTCTAACACCATAAATTAGCTTTGCCTGGTTTTGTACCCAGCTTCTTTCACTTCACGTTAGATTTGGGGTGGTAGACCATTCCTCCTAATTGCGGTATAGAATTACATTGTATGAATATACCACAATATATTTATTTCTTCTCATCTTGATGGACATTTGCCTAGTTTCCAATTTGGAGCGATTATCAACATTCTGCCATGGTGCTATAGAATAAGCTGGACTGCTCTCCATAAGGTCAGGGATTCAAAACCACTGGGTGTTCTTCAGAAACTCTACACAGGGTTGCTGTGAGTCAAAACTGACGTGATGGTACTCACCACCACCACCACCACCACCACCAACATAAACCTTCTAGTTCAGGTATTTGGAGGAACTCAATGTACAAATTTCTTTAGATCTACACCTGGGATGGAAAGGTCTAGGTCATGTTGTTGTTGTTGTTGTTGTTGTTGTTGTGTGCTATCGAGTTATTTCCGACTCATACTGACCCTGTATAGGGTTTCTGGGGCTTTTAAATATATGTGGGAGCAGAACGCCTCATCTTTCTCCTGAGGTGAGGCTGATGGACTTCAACCACAGACCTTGTGATTCACAGTCCAGTGTTTACCTATGGAGCCACTGTGCTTCCTGTATATACTTAACTTTGAAAATTATCTAAAGCGGTTGTACTGTCTGTCCAATTTTTTAATAAGACTTCACATTCATTCACAATGACCTTAACAGTTTGCCAAGTATTTCCAGCAGAAGCAGGCCTAGAAGCTCAATCTCTGATTCTGAGTCCAATGCTCTTTACACTCAGTAAACTCTAGAGCCCTCCATACTACTTTATCCCACATTTTGTTTTCTTTTCTGTTTAAAGCCTTGCAAGATGCATAGAAATCTAGGCGTTTATATGTCATTCTTCTCAGGGTATTTTGCCTTAAAGAGAGTCAGTGGAGACTTAAACTAACAATTCTAATTGTGAGACTTAGGGGTTCCATAAAAGACCAGTTGTTGTTAAGTGCCATGGAGTCAGTGCCTACTCATAGCAACCCTGTATAAGGTTTCCGAGGAGAGGCTAGTGAGTTTAAACTGCTGACCTTACAGTTCAGACTGAGTTTGCCGTCTCGTGCTTATCCCATACCACCACAGTTAGTAGAAAGGAAAGGAAAAGAGGACAGAGAAAATAATTTTCATCCGGGGCGACTGCTCAATAGAATCATTCACATCCCAGATGGCTGTCTGATCTGAATAGAGCCATCCCTGACGATACATAATAGAAAGCAGAAAGCTCATCTTTTATCATGTGAACTTCAGGGCAAACACATTGAAAAGCTATTAAACCCTCACTTCTCAAAAGTGATACATAGGAACCACTTCAGGGATGACTTTGTGAAGGGCAGTACCGAAAGGGAGTCTGAGAAGCCGAATTACATACACCACAGCCCTCTACGTCTCAACCCAGGAGGCCTTGAACAGTAATCTGCTCCTGTTTTTTTGAAGGTCTCCCATATTTGAGCCATGTATGCAGAAAAAAAACTTGAGAAAGATGACAACAAAAATCAAACCCCAGTCTTCTGGCTGCTCACTTAGATACACATCCGTTACCTAAATCTGTGTTGTAATTACAAAGAATAAGTTTTATATATTTAGATATTTGTAATTTATCATGGTCTGATGCCTGGATTTGAATGCAGCTAAAGTTGAGGGTACTAATTAATTATAAAACATTCCAATACTTGAATTTAAGGCCTCTTGAGTCTAATGTGCAAATTTATGTAAAAACAATGTGAAAATTAGAAATGCATTGGCACTTTTTTTTAACCAGAACTGTAGCACTCTGTCTAGTCAAACAGACTGCTCATTTGCAAGTTGTCTATATGCAAAGCATTCTGCCCCTGGGAGCCTAAAATCTCCTTAGCAAGTCATCTGAAATTTGTAGGAAAAAAAAAGGAAAAAAAGCTTTGTTCTGAACCTGCTGTATGGTCTCTTTACTTCTTCACTTTCTATTTTCTGCATCCAGCAGTGTGGGCAAAAGGCCAAATCTCACTTCCACCTGGCAAACGCAACAATTGTGGCTCCAAACATGCTGGTCACCTTAGTAAACCTGTTTGACTGCAAAGGAGGGATTCTATATATGCCCATCTCAAGTCCTATGTCCAGTAGCCTTTCAAATGTTTAAGAGAAATTTCAGCATTTATGCCCTTCCTCCAAACTCACAGGACTCGAATTTTCCTTTGGAGACAAAAGCGTAGAATAAAAAAGGTTATTTGGTCCAAGGCTCACTCTGGAAGGAACTTCCATGGTATAATTACTGAGGCTTCCATAATCCAGAGCAATGACTGAGTTAAGTGCATTCAGCTTCATCTGGTCTTGGGGAGGAGGGAGTGGGGGGAGGGAGTGGAGAAGAGATGCAGCTTTGCCAGGTACCAAGGTGCAGCAGCAGGGGGAGCATTCAGCCTATATGCCCTGAGGCTGGCTGGCAACTAATCAAAAAGTGGGCCAGAGGTCAGTTCCAGAAGATGCTTGGATGGGGTCAGCAGGGCAGGGCTAAGTGAGCACACACCTAGGAATGGCAGAAGAGACTCCCTAGGGGAATTAACCTAGCTAATCATTTAGCTGCTGGAGGGGTGGGGAGAGTAAGGAAAGACAAGACACACTCTCAGGAACCATGGTGACCCGCCCATGCAGACAGTGGAGCGTGACAGCTGAAGAAGTGCACTCTGGAGAGAGAAGTTGCATCAACAGTGAGCATGAATCACTGCCTCACTTAAAGGAGGTGACTTAGCTTTTCCCAGTAGCTCAATCTCAGATTAAAGGGCCCTCATTCCTAAACCTCCAACAGTCAGGGCATTTCATTGTATTTTCCCTCTACTCAATGACCTTCTCCCTCACCCACCACTCATGTTTAATCCATTTATGGCAGGTTAATTTCCCCAACACTGACTTGCTCTCCTAATGCTGATTCAGTTGTGAGTAGTGAATTCCGCTTTCCCCAGTTTGAGCACAATTGTTATCAGTCTGACATTGCTATTCTGAGGTTTTGTTTCTCAAAGTAAGATCCATGGGTCAGTATCCACACCATAACTTGTAAAATTTGCTTGAAATGCAGACACCCCAGACCAGATTGCAGGGTCAGAATCTGCAGTTTAACAAGAGCCTCAGAGGCTCGTGTATACATTCCAAAAGCCTGTTCTCTGAGTCTCTATCAAGTCAAACCAGCTATTTTCTGCCAACAGTTAGCGAGGTGCATTTATTTTTTCAGTTACTAGCTATTAGTTGCAGTCCTGGTGTAGCACTGTGGGCTAATGCGTCAGACTGCAAAGTCATTTGAACTGCAAGGTCGGTGGTTCAAGCTTACCAGCTGCTCCTTGGAAACCCTACACTGAGTTGCTATGGATCAGAATCGAATCAACAGCACTTAACAATAACAACAACCAGCTATTGGTTGGAGTGGTGCTGTAGGATAAGCACAGGACTTCAAGGTTGGTTTGAACTGCAAGGTCAGCAGTTTTAACCCATCAGCTACTCCTAGGAAACCCTATATAGGGTCGTTATGAGTTGGAACCGACTTGACAGTACCTAACAACAGTTTTGAAGGCACTCTTTCATCTCCTTGGTCATCAAGGCCTCCTAGGCCAAGAGTAAAATAGCGTTGAGAATACTACCTAATTTAAGATAATTAAATAAAAAACAGATTCTTCTTTTTTCTATAAATTATGGATCGTGACAGAATATTCAAGTTTATATTTAATCTGTGTTCTAACTCAAGTATTGGATTATAAATTCCTAAGAAGTGTAGCAATCTCCTCTCCCTCTTTTTTTTTTTTTTAAATCTTCCCTTTGCCCCCAAGAACAATGTTCTACCCCTAGTAAAATTGGCTATCTAACACTTACAAAAAAGTACCATTGGAAAATCCCTTTACAAAAAGAAATTTCTAATTTCAGTTCCTGACTGATTATAAAGAGATCTTGTCACTTTGACCTAATCCTGTATGGTTCATCCCTCTAAATAATTGGGTAGTTTCTATCCATAAAGCACTTTGTTACTATGGAGACACATACATAATAGTATGGATAAGTAATTGAGGGTGGTGCTAAAGTCAGCCTTCTACCCACTATTCCATCCACTTAAACGTTACTCATCTCTAGGTTTGCCTCAAGGACTGAGAAGTTTCTGAATCTAAATGTGCATTATGGAAACTACAGGCCAGTTATAAGGAGACAAATTAATACAGTAGCAACACGATTGGACAGGGAAATTGGAGATCTGGGTTCCAGTTTAAGGCCTGTCATGAATTTGCTACATAATTTATCACAAGGTGAGAGCTTGTCAGAGAGAGCCCCACTTCCCTCATATTTCAAGGGAGATGAATGATCAATGTTTCCTAACGGCTCTTTTTCTACAATGTACCACAACATTTTAAGCCAATTTTAAGTGTCATTTAGATAAAAATTAAACAAAGCTTCTCAGCATTAAACATTAACACAGCTCTTTTAATATGGCACAGTTCATTATCATGCCAATAAATGAGTAATTATAATTCTCTGTCTGGACCAATAATTTTACTTGAGTTTTATGATTCATAATTGGTGCTGTGTTGTAATGTTACCTCTCGAAACTTACAGACTAGCAGTAACTGTTTTTTTTATTGCTTCTCTGAAGTAGTTTATTAAAAGAATCACCAAGTGACGTGTGTTTACGAAGGGTTTAAAAGTTTGCCATGGTTGAAATAAGTATTACTTATCTAGACTGCAGCTGAGCCAGGACTGGAAGGAAGATCTGTGCTTCTCTGAGCTTGGCCATTTGGACAGAAAACCCAACAATGAATCATTTGAATACCTGTTTGGCCAATGCAGCAATTTGCAATGGGTCTTCCTGTGTGCTACCTGAAAGCAATTCCAACTATATTCTAAGTGTAGTTCTAAGTACTGTCCTTACCATTTTGCTGGCCATGGTGATGTTCTCCATGGGCTGCAATGTAGAAGTCAAGAAATTCCTAGCTCACTTAAGGCGGCCATGGGGCATATTTGTTGGCTTCCTCTGTCAGTTTGGCATCATGCCCCTCACTGGCTTCATCCTGTCAGTAGCCTTCGACATCCTCCCCATCCAGGCTGTGGTAGTGCTTATCATAGGATGCTGCCCCGGAGGCACTTCTTCCAACATCTTGGCATATTGGGTCGACGGTGACATGGACTTGAGGTAAGATATCTAAACTTCAAAATATTGCAACTGTTTACAGTGAATCAGGTAAGTAGCCTTTAGTATTTTGAATTTCCAAATGCTCTGGCATTGATTTAAATTACCATTACAGAATTAAGAAGAAGTTGAATGCATTCACTGGACAACCCACATGGCTGCTTAGCTAAAGGAATTTGGGGTTATTTTTTGTGGTTTTGTTTTTTTAATCTAACTCCAGTAACAGGAATTGTACAATTGCTGTTCATCTCTGGAAAAAGATTCAAAGTTTTTCAAATAGAGGACCTTTCCAATCCACAAACTGAAGGTGAGAAAGTTTTCTTTGATGGTATCAGCAAAAAACATAAACAAAAACCAAACTTATTGTTAGTGACGAAACCAAATTGTTTAGTAATAAGGATGGAATGACGATCAACTCCAATTCCTTGGGCTAGGTTTTTCTTGGTATAAGACCTACAGAAGAATTCTTGCATTGGTTTTATGTTTATTTGTTGTATCTTGGGAGTGCAGTGGCTCTTTAGGATTAGCAGTGGACTGCAAACCACAAGGTCAGTGATTTGAACCCACCAGCTGCTTCTCGGGAGAAAAGTGAGGCTTTCTGCTCCCACAAAAAGTTTAAAAGCCTCAGAAACCCTACACAGGGTTGCTGTGAGTCAAAACCAGCTCCACACATCTAACAACTACTTCTCTTAAAAGAAAAAAGCAACCCTCCAACAGCTTCCTCTTCTTTCTTTAAATTATGCTTACCTTACTATAAAATAAACAGCAAATGGGTTCTGTGCTTCCCACAGAGTCATCTAAATTGCAATGTTTGCTCAATTCATCCTGTGCCAGTCTGAACTAGCAGTTGGGGAAAAAAAAAAACCTAATAGAAATAGGAGAAAGCATTAATGTGACTAGACTGTGAATTTTAATGCCATAAATTGAATAGGCAAATGTCTTTTTCCTTACCTCACAATTCCTCATTTCCTGTGAAAGGTATGCATTTCTGCAAAACACCCAGGTGTTAATGTAACATGTGTTATTAAATACTGTACAGTAGGCAATCAGTCCTCTTCATCACCATCTACTCCACTCAGAAGAGAGAAGCTCCAAGTAGAGACATGTAACAACCGCAAAATGTAAAATCACATTCTGCATTGATCAAGTGCCTCAAGAGCAGATGGGAACTGGGGGCTTCATTGCACCTAGTCCTTCAGAAGCTTTAGAAAAGCCATGGAACCTTTTTTTTTTTTTTTTTCATATTATTTTTCATATTATGAAATAGAGTATCTGTCGTATAATAGATGCTTTAAGGAAAGTCCTGTAAAAGAACAAACAATTCCAAGTACTGTTGTTGTTAGGTGCCATTGAGTCAGTTCCGACTCCTAGCTACACTGTAACCATACAAAACACTGCCCTGTTCTGTGTCATCCTCACAGTTACTGCTTTGTTTGAACCCATTGTGGTACTCACTGTGCCAATCCAATGTTTTGAATGTCTTCCTCTTTTTCACTGAACCTCTGCTTAAACAAGCATGATGTCCTTCACCAGGAACTCATCACTCCTTATAACATGACAAAAATATGTGAGGCAAAGACTTTGTATCCTCTTTCCTAAGAAGCATCCTGAACACTGTTTTCATCAAAGATTTGTTCATTCTCCAGGCAGTCTATCATGTAGTCAATATTCTTCACCAACACCATCATTTAAATCAATTCTTCAATCTTCTCTATTCATTGTCCAGCTTTGGCATGAGTATGAGGCAATGGGAAAATACTATGGCTTCAGTCAGGTATACCTTAGTTCTCAAAGAGACACTTTTGCTTTTTAAGGAGGTCTTTTGCAACAGTGCAAAATGTCATTTGATTTCTTGATGGCTGCTTCCATGGGCATTGATTATGGATCAAAGTAAAATGAAATCCTTGACAACATTTATTTTCTCTCATTTCTTAAGCTGTTGATTATTGGTCTAGTTTTGAGAATTTTGATATTCTTTATATTGGGGTATAAACCATACTGAAGGTTGTAATCTTTGTTCTTCTTTAGTGAGTGCTTCAAGCCCTCTGCACTTTCTGCGAGCGAGAATGCGGAAATTATCAAATAATATCATTAACACCACACATAAGTAAAATTTTAATGAAAATGATTTAAAAGTGTTTGTGGCAATACAACTCCAGGGAAAAATCAGATATTCAAATAGGTTCAAAAGAGGATGTGTAAGGAGGGATCTTGCCAGATGAATTTTGACAAAAGGCAGAGAAATAAGAAAGATGTTTACTAGTGTTGAATTGACTATGCAAAGGCATCGTAGCAAATTATGGATAATGTTACAAAGAATGGGAATTCCAGAATGCTTAATGGTGCTCATGCAGAACCTGTACATAGACCAAAATGCAAATAGAACAAGGGGATACTGTATGTTGTAAAGTCAGAGAAAGTGTGTGTCAGGGTTTGATCCTTTCACCATACATATTCAATCTGTTTGCTGATCAAATACTCCCAGAAGCTGGACTATATGAAGAAACATAAAGCATCAGGATTAAAGGAAAACTCATTAACAAGCGCTGTGAGGTTTAGTTATTCTCTATTCACAAGACAGCAATAAGATCTCCTTAGATTTCACCTTAGTTAGACCCGACGGTAGCCATGTAGAAGGCAGGCCTTTCAAAAGCTAGCACTTACTCAGTGGAAGGGAGTGAACACAGGTGAATGTGGAGCTTTGGCCTCTACTAAACAGCCTTTCCATAATATTTATAATGTTTTAACAAAATGAAGGAATCTTGAATCAAAAACAAATTTGCTCTCTGACAACATAATGCAGTGCATTGTGTAATCATGTTGTCAGAGAGCACATTTATATGATATTGGCTTGTTTGACTGGTGCAGTGAAACTTCTACAAGCTAAGTCTAACTCCAGTTACACTTTTATGTGGTTTTAAGAAAATCTTATTTCTCTTGGAATAGGACATAATCGCGTAAGCTTTCTCTACCTAGTATAACAATTCCTGCAATTACCAAAAAGATTAAGAAATCAAAATCAAAAAGAGAATATAAGACCTTGGCTGAAAGCACAGAGCTCAATTATATAAATTCCTCTAAAAATCAAAATAAGTCCCATTATGAGACATTAGGCATCAGAAATTTTAATTGTAATTTTTTTAAATTGTAATGGTAATTATTAAAGACTGAATTCCACAGATATTGCAAAGATAACATAATACCAACACCTCCCCAGCCCAACAGTCACCTAACTAGAGTATGTTCATCTATCTGGTTCAAATAAAACCCAATAAAAGATTTTGCACACCCCAAAATAAACTCCACTTAATCCCATAAACTTTCCTCACTCTGGATCTACTTACTTTCCTAATACCAAAGTTCTGTTATGCAATGTCTCAGCACATATGGGGTCAGAGACAGGAAGGAGGGAAGAGTATTAGAAAGGCAGGCCTAAGTCTCGTAGGAGCAAATGGCCCAGAAAGCTTTACTCTAAAATCGAGGACCAAAATGTCTACAAAGCAAAGACACTCACAATTGAAACTTAAAGCAAACAGCTCTATAAACACAATTGTTGTTGTTGCTCAGTGCCATTGAGTTGGTTACTATGCAGAAGGACCCTGTATAAGGTTTCTAAGGAGTAGCTGGTAGATATGAACCACTAATCTTGTGGTTCAAACTGACCTTGTTGCCTACTGTTTATCCTACAACACCACAATAGGACTCCATAAACACAATAAGCCAAGGGGGAAAAAACACTGAATTTTAATACAGCAAATAATGTTTATTGCATTGATCCAAATCACCAAAAGGAGGTTAAATTAAGTTGCTCTATAAGAAACTGACACTATGTTCTGTATATGTCAGGGAAAAGAATCAATAACATATTTCTTTGAAATAAATTAAGGGAAACAATTTTCCATTGGGAAAAAAAGAATTTTTTATTCTTCTAAAGTGCATTTCAGGTAACTAAAGTTCCATGCTGATTTATTTACATACATTCCTATCTTCCATTTTTATTTCCAGTTCTGTGCCTTTGGAATTTTACCTTCTGGCACTATGGGAATAAGCACAGAACCCACCATAAGGTCAGTTTGAACTGTAAGGTCAGCAGTTCAAACTCACCAGCTGTTCCTCGAAAATCCTATACAAGTTCGCTATGAGTTGAACCCAATTTACAGCACTTAACAACATCCCTACTTGAATTCTAACAATTGTTGTTGTTGTTGTTAAGCGCTGTCAACACCTAACAATATTACGGAAAGGCTGTTTAGTAGAGGCCAAAGCTCCACATTCACCTGAGTTCACTCCCTTCCATTGAGTAAGTGCTAGCTTTTAAAAGGCCTGCCTTCTACATGACTACCGTCAGGTCTAACTAAGCTGAAATCTTAGGAGATCTTTTTTGCTGTCTTGTGAATAGATAATACCTAAACCTCACAGTTCTGACCCATAGTGACCCTATGAGATGTTATATACAACATAACAAATCACTGCCCAGCCCTGCACCATCCTCACAATCATTTCTATGCCTGAGCCCACTGCTGCTGCCACTGTGTCAATCCATCTCATTGGGGGTCTTCCTCTTTTTGGCTGACCCTTCACCTTCCTGATAATATGTCTGCAGTATGAGAGACACGTATGACCATCTTGACTTCTAAGGAACATTCTGGTTGTTCTTCTTCCAACACAGTTTTGTTTGTTCTTCTGGCAGACCATGGCACCTTTAATATTCTTCTTCAACACCAGAACTCAAATGCAGCAGTTCTAGCAAAAGCAGTGATGATATGACTGTTTAGATTACTAAGTATTTGTACTAACTGAACTAATGCCACGCAAGTGGTTCCTGGAAAAAGAAACCAAAACATTTCCCCTTCATCCTATGACTTTTTTTCTGAGCCTAGGAAGCCATTGCATTGTGAAACAAAAAAGCAAGTAAACCTGCTTATTGAAATACATCATTGAAATACAATGGAAAGTGATAGATCAACTCCTCCCAGCCTAGAAATTTGTTGCTTGTGAATAGG